AATGTGATGAATTGAGACGATCCGACATGATGACAACAATAAAAGTCACTTGATGCTTTAAGACTTTATTCTGATGGACCAGAACCACCTGCAGTCGTTTATTCATGGAACCATCCAAGCAGCCAATCACGAGGCTCATTAGTGGAAATATTAACAGCAGCTGATGGTTTTAGCAAATCATGAACAGAAACAGAAAACCTGCCCCTGAACCATAGAAAGCTGCTGTTCTGATCCAGTTGTCGTGGACACTGAGGGAACACTGATGGAACCGAGCCGTGGTTCTGACACATTGTGCCGTTATTTCCAATCTGCAGCCGGAGGTCAGGGTTTAACTGCAGCGTGAGCCCGAGCAGCAGCCGGGTTCTGCCGGGTTCTGCTGTGACCGAGCAGCAGCCGGGTTCTGCTGTCACCGAGCAGCAGCCGGACTCTGCCGGGTTCTGCTGTCACAGAGCAGCAGCCGGGTTCTGCCGGGTTCTGCCTTCACTGTGCAGCAGCCGGACTCTGCCGGGTTCTGCCTTCACAGAGCAGCAGCCGGGTTCTGCCGGGTTCTGCCGTCACAGAGCAGCAGCCGGACTCGGCTGTGCTCAGCATCCTCTTTGTTTAGTTCACTGGATTATTTCCTTTACTTTGGGTCCTTGGTTTGGCTTCGGGGCAGAACTGAGCGACCCAACGGCAGCAGCCATGTCCAGAGTTCTGTCAGGCCCGTCTCAGCATCGTGTTATCGTCTGGACCCGTTCTAATGAGGTTCTTCAGCTCTAAACACTGGCCTCTGTTTGCTTGTTATTTGCTTTCCAGACCAGACTGGATGAAACATCAGGACGTCCAGAACTCGGAGACAAACAAACTCATTTAAACAACAGGTTCTGTTAGGAAGACTGTAAGAAGGCAGGATTGTCCTGTGAACTGAACCCTCTACAACTAGAACCAGTCGGTACCATCAGATGATAGTAACTCGGTGTTTGTTAGCAGACGTGAGGACCTTCAGCTGTTTTCTGCTGGATTTCTGAACATAAGCGCTGAACAGATGCAGCTGAAGGTTCAGGAGGACCTCCGGGGCTGGAGGCCAGATGGGAAGAAGGTGGACAAGAACCTTCAAAGCTCCACACGTTCTCACCGATGAACGGTTCTGAACCTGAGCGGTGATGTTCTGGATTCAACATGAAGCTTAAATACATGATTTTGTTGATCAGCGTAGATTCATCTGGTCTGATTTTGATCATGTGACCATAATCGTTAAATCTCTGTTATTGTTAATATAATGTACTAATAATAATAATATAATATAATTATATAATGTACAGTATTTGATTTAAATGTATGAAATTCATTGACTCAGCGTTTTATTTCAGTTTACTCATTATTCATGTTGTACTTATCTGTCTGACTGCTTCTCTGCTTTTTATTCACTGCGTTTCTTATTTTTTTCTGAGAACCTCCGTCTGGATCAATAAAGTTTCCTCTGTACGCGTCAGTCAGCTGCCATGAATCCATCAGACGTGTAATCTGTTGGTTTCAGCAGGTTTTCACTTCCACACACATTTAACAGCTGATGTTCATATTCCAGATGTGTTCTGGTTGTTCTGCAGCTCAGCCGTCCGTCAGCCCGAATGTGTTTGTTCTGATAACAAACGAGGATCCTGCTGACGGCAGAACATCCTGGAAGCTGTGTGACGTTCTTTCACTTTAAATGTGTTCAAGAAACAAACACGCTGAACCTGTTTAACTGGAGTTCATGTTCTCTTTGTGCCGGGTCGAGCTGAACCCGATCCTCGTCTGTCGGGTTCGGTTCAGCTGCTTCATTAGTCGTTAAAGCGTTAAGAGTTAGAGCTGCTCACCTCCTCACACTCGAAGTCATCAGAGGAGACGCACTTCTGGCCTCCATCCTGCAAAACAAGAAGCAGCAGGTTCAGCCCGGATTCATCCAAACACGCTCGGATCAGAACCACACTTTGTTTCCATCAACCGTCTGATCGGCTAAAGCGAAACCGTCTCGTCCACGTTCAGACAGAAACAGCAGAAAACAACAGATAAAACCAGACTGAGCTTGTTTCAGACTGAATCTCGTCCTGCAGCTGATTAAAACCGTCATTCAGTTATTAACAACTTTTCATGTAAACGTCACAGAATCAGCGTCGACTCGTTCCGTTAAACGAACAAACATCAGATTTTAACTTATTTAACGGATTTGTCAGATATTGTGCTGCACATTTTCCTTTAATTTTACAACAAACCCACTAAACTAATCAACCTCAGAGGTGTTGATGAAGTCGACTTTTTATTTAATTCATGGACCATGTGATGGCTGCAGCAGCGCCCCCTGCTGTGCAGCTTGTTTCAGTCGTAAACCCAAAGCGTTTGTGGTTTTACTTGAACTGGTGTCAAACACAGACCAGTTAAAGGCGTCGGGTGGTAACGGGAACAAAAGGAGGCTGGACTAGCTTAGCATGTAGAATACTCGTCGACTCCACACAGCAGGGGGCGCTGTGGGTGTATCTTCATCATCAGTGTGAGTCTGTTTGTAGAAATAAAACCTGTAAATCCTCTGATTGCAGCTTCTTCAGTGAATGTTTTCTGGTTTCTTTGCTCCATCAGTAAACTGAACATGTTTGGACCAAACAGGACGTTTGAGGAACTCTGATCCACGACTTCTGACATTTTAGACCAAACAGCTGATCGGCTCATCCAGAAAATAACCCGCCCATTAATCAATATAATAGTGAGCAGCAGACCCAGTCCATACATCCTACAGCATCCTGTACAGCTCGTGTTGTTGTTGTTTCAGCCTTACAGGGTTAGGGTTAGAGTCTCCAGGAGGAGGTTGGGGTTGATGGACGGACAACAGAAGCCACAACAAAAGCTCTTTAAACAGCAGAATATGTTCTGGTTTCTTTCCTCTGTGACAGTAAACTGAAGATCTTTAGACAAAACAAGACATTGGAGGAAACACATTTTTTACTATTTTGTGACATTTTAGACCAAACAGCTGATCGATTCATCCAGAAAACAATCTACGGGTTAATCAACTCTGTAAATAACTATTGACTGAGACCAGGACAAGCAGCATTTAACGGTGTCTTCAACAACACGGAGATTTAAAGTCCAATCCACAGAGAACACTTTTTTAAAAAGTTGTTTTGAGAACAGAAATCATCACGACTCCGTTCTGAGGTTTTTACTTTAAAATGAGTGAAAGCAGTGAGTGTGTACATTAAAGCAGCTCATTTCTCACCGCTCGTCTCCACACATATCCATTAGTTTGTGCAGTCGCCTGGCGAACACATCACTTTGTGTAGATGGAGCAGATCAAACGCTTCACCAGAGTTTAGCTCCTTCATGTCTCTGTTTTAATGGAGATTTCCAGGAACAGAGCTGAGACTGAGCAGATCACTGAAGAACCTGAAGATCGACTGGTTGTCATGATGGAATCTGATGAAGGATGTCAACGATTAAACGAGTAAATGCAGTCATTAATATAACTAATTAAAACTAATTAAAAATGTATTAACTGATGAGGCAAGAGACAAACATAACATCTAGTCTGATGGACTAAAAGCTCCATCTTGGTCTCCTCAGACCAGAGAACCTTCTTCCAGGTGACTTCAGAGTCTCCACATGTCTTCTGGTGAACTCTAGTCCAGATTTAATCTGAGCTTTTTCCATCAGAGTCTTTCTCTTTGTCTCCATAAAGCTTTGATGGTGAAGAACAGACAACAGTTGTTGTATGAACAGTC